CCAGCAGGAAAGTACCCATACAACTAAAATGCTGCCATAGTTCACACTTCTGCTAGGTTTAGTGCTAAATGAAATACTGTCACCAATTCTATTTTCATCATTCATCTTGCAATTATGTTTGGTTTGGTCGTTTGGGGTTATTTTAAGCATTACCTTTTAGGATTGTAGGATTCTCAGTTTTCCTTTAATTAAAATAAAGATGTTTTCAGCAACTAACATTCCAGGTACAAGCTGGAAAATCTGAAACCTCAAGACTCAAAAACTAAAAACTAAACCAACACATGGGGGTGAGAAAAAAGGCTTAGAATTAAAGTCCTTATCATGATTTTTGGTTGACTCATGGGCATTGAATGTGTGAAACTGGCTTCACTGAACACTCTGTACTAGGATTCAAGATGATATATATCAGTTAGAAGTAATTTTTGGAATCTGAAGAGCCAGCAATTTAAAAGCTAGTGCTGCAAACAAGCCACAACATCCAGAAAGAAAGAAAGAAAAAAAAAGAAAAAAGGCACTGAAACTTTTTTAAAATATTTGAACAACATGATCATGACTAAAAATTCACAAAGTCTACATGCAAGATCTTTGCACCACTGTAATCCAATCATGTGCTATCCTTGGATTTTTTTGTACCAGAACAAGTCCTTCCTCTGTGCTGCATTAGAAAGAAGCCAAGCTTTCAGCAAGCTATAGTGCAGTTTAGTTTTACTAGTGCAATGCATCAACCCTAGGACTGGCATCCTAATGAGGACAAGAACCGCGCTTTCATGCAAAGAGGACTAGTTCCCCCTCCAGTCTGTTTAAAATACTGTTCACTGCTTCGAGCACACCATAGCTACAGACCCTGCTTTTCCTCACAGGAATTAATACAAATGACATGAAGTCAGTATGCTTAGTGTTTGGTGACTTGATTCCACATGACAGTAACTCATCTTGATTATTTACAAGAATCACCACCTTTTACTTTACTAGCACTCCTCATCCTCAGCCTACCATTTGCCTTTGTGCTTTGGAGAACTGCTATCAAGAAACCCAGCAAGCTTCCTTGCATTTGCCCCATGTCGCTCCTCAGAGCTTGGCTCTGCCGTGGGGTACACTTGGCCTATGTGTGCTTACAGTAGGCTGCCATAAATTATTTCTTATATTTGCAATATAGCAGTCTCATTGCACTTATCCTCTCAGTCTGCTTGCTCCAGCATTGGTATTCATGATTTTAAATCCTCAGGCCAGGGGCTAGCCAGGGAGGAATTATTATGTGTTTATCATTGAGACTCCAAGCATATCACCTTGACTGAAAATGCACGGTAGTGGAAGGTTAACATAGCAGCAGATTAGAGTGTTTCTAACTGTGACAGAAGTTATTCCATATAGCAGCTCTCTCACTGCAAGGTAGAGCTAGACAAGAACTGTGAGAAAACAGATTCTTCAGAATGAAAAGTGTTCCCAGGCATATGGTTCTTTCACAGGCTCTGCTCACAGGAAAAGCTCCTCAGCCTAGGGTGGCAGATCCTAGCAAGGCTGACGAGAAAAATTGTGTGATTATAACACATACCTGGAATACAAGTCTTCTGGGATGGGAACCAAAGGGTGGTCACCATGTAATGTGAAAAATTTCCAACTACATTTTGGCAGGACGTGGGGAAAATGTTACATAACAAAATCCTTTGTTTTGTTTTTCAGGAGAAAACTCCCCCCATTTCTACACTAAAGCTTGCATTAAAAACGGGGACAGAAAATTTAATCCATGGAGGAGGAGAAAAGCTGCCTTTTCCACAGAGAGAACATATCAAGTATCTGGCATACCAAGGAACCACCCACTCTGCCTCAGGTTCTTGGTATCTTGTTTTCCTGAATGGCTCTTCTACTCATTTCTGCCAGCATGTTACTGAAAAATTGAGAGGATAATACTGGGAATTTAGATGCCACAAATAAACTGGTCAGTGCCCCAAAGTTTATGAGAACGGTACAACAGAGCAGTAAAATCACAAAGAAAACAAGAAGATTATTTTATGTTATTTCTACTTCAGCCTGGGCAGAGCTCGATTATAGCAAGTCTTGACAATCCTCCTTGTTCAAGCACAGGTCCTTGCTTTAATTAACAAATAAGCTGGGGAAAGAGCTAAACCTATGAATTTGTTGACTGAGGATGAATCTATGTCCTTGTCTCTCTTTACTGCTCTCCTGCTATTCTCATCCTGAGTATTTCTTCTATTAAATACTTCACATTTACTCTGAGGAATGGGTACTGAGGGTCTTAGTCCCCTCCTCCCATTTGGAAGACTGCTGTAACAGAAAAAGCAAGGTCCTATGCTAATACTTAACTACAGGAATTCAGCAGGCAGCCTCTAAGCCACTAATCTGAACATAATCCAGCTATACCACAAAGGCAAAGCAGGAGTATTCATCCTCACTGATACATGTACATTTATCTGAGTATTAGCTGGGAAAATTATATAGGTTCATAAGAGCCCTGTTTCCTCAATAATAGCAAATCAATACATACAAAAATTGGGAGATTGTTGTGCAATTTGATTTACTTTATTGAGTAATAGTCTGATAGCTACAATGGTGAATTAGAAGTAAAAAAAAAAAAGGAAAGAAGAAACCCAACCACCTCAAAACAAACAAACAAACAAACAAACAAAACAAACAAACGAAACCCAAATCCTATTTCCCCATATTTTGGGAAACAAGCTGAAGAAAACATTCTACACTGTAGAAAGACAGCTGTAACTGCTGATATCCATGTTTTGACATTGGAACTGAGCAACTGCAAGTCTGCAGCCTACAGTCTTAAAGCCTCAACCAAAAAAGGCTTAATAGTAATAACATGGATATATCACCACTGTGAAGATGTTAACATGTTAAGGATTCTGGGATACCAATCTGGTATAATCAGCAACATACTGGGTTCCTGTGAAAGATGTGGCATTTCTTCTTAAGGTCAGCTTTTAGAGAACTTTGAAAAACAATGTTTTAAACTGATTACTTACAGTACTCCTTTGCTTGCAGAAAAGCAAGAGAATAGTTCAATAAAACTGAATACATGATCATTTTCTGACTGGATTTGATTAGTTGCATAACTTCAGCAAGATTATCACAGTGTGATCTAGTTAAGCTTTTAGGATTATATGAACACCAGCACCAAATTAATCTTGGAATCAGACAAGTGAGATACTTGTGAACTCTCATACATCTCTGACCACTTCTGCAGTCTCTCCTAGTCCCACTGCTTCAGTAAGCATTTGATAGTTAGTGCAGCATTTTATGCCATTGACAAAGCAACACAATCTGGACAGATTCCTGACTTCTCTCTCCTTGCAAGAATAGCATGCCACCTTGTTGAACCCTCAAGGATGCAAATTGGGATTATCCTACATAAAGTCTCCCTTTGTGGCATCTGAAATAAAAACCTTTTCCCCAGAACTGCCACTGTTTTGATAGTGAATTCCATGTGGAGTTGTACAAGTAGTTACTCGGTTCTTTGGCTGATTTTAAGAATTGCATTCAAAAGTTACTCTATGTTAGAGGCATTTAGAAAATATATTTATACCTGGTATTGATACTCTTTCAAGTACTCTTTTAGTCTTGTTGGTAATGGCAGCTCCCAGATCTGATTTGTACTCTTGTTTATAGCTATTCTGCAGCGGTGTTGCAAAGATGGAGCGGACGTATAGAGGGGTTTGTTCAAGTAAAGATGAACTGTTCCATTTGAAGGTGTTTCAGTTCTGTCTTTGCACATAAGAACATAGTACTCAATCAAATGCACAACGCTGTTGAACTGTTTAAGTCTAGATCTGACACAAGTGATAGAATCCAGTCTAAACTTGCCATCTTGATATTCTATACGTAGATTGGTCGGTCCCGCTGATGTTTTTACTGAAATAGTCAGTAGATACTCTGAATGTGAACTATCCCTAACCAAAAAGGTTCCTTCGGGGGCATCCTGTAATCTCTCTTTGGCTTCAGCAACAGTCATGTTGCCCCAGTACCATCCTGTTAAAAAGTGAGAAAAAAAAGGGATTTGTTTATTCCTGTTTGTTTAAAAAGCTGCTCTTTAGCTGATATACTTGTAGTCACCCATTTCCTCTGTTGTTTGAAAGCTAAAGTCCTGCAGGCACAATAAAATTTTTATTTGCTATTTAAATCCATTTGCTTTACAATGCGTCTCGTTCTGACAGAGTCGTTCAGGTCACTCTTTATTTTCATATCTATGCATACACAGGCACAAACTTTCCCGCAGCGTCCTGCGAGGCAGACACGGGAGCCGCGGATCCGGCGGGCCGCCCCCGAGGCAGCAGAGACGCGTCCCGCGGCTCCCCACTGCGCTCCCGCCGGGGCCGGCGCGGCGTCCGCACGGCACAGGGTAGCAGCCCGCAGAGAGCCCAGCAACCCCGGGCAGGCTGCTGTTAAAATGAGCTTTGTGTAGCGATCGGAAACAGAGAGGGGTAAGAAAACAACTCCGGCGGGGCGGCTGCGGTCCTGGCGCGGCGGCGATGGACACAAAAAGCCCTTCCAGCCGCCCGCCGCCAAGCCCCGCGTCTTGCGGGGCCGGGTGAGCCGCCGCCACGCCGGCGAGCGGAGCGCAGGTACCCGGGGCCGAGGGGATGCGGCGCCGCGGCCGCCCCGGCCGGCGGCAGAGCCCGGCCCTCTCTCGGCCGCCGATCCTGGGCTGCCGCCGGGGCGCGGCGCTGCCGGCGCTTTCGCTTCGGCCGTCGCCGCAGCCCGCGGAAGGTCGGAGCCGCCGCCGCCCCTCTCCGCCGCGGGAGCGCGACCCCGCCGCACCGGGCGGCGATGGGCAAGCGTCGCCCCGCCGCCCGCTTCCCCTCTCGGCCCGGCGAGGCTCCCCGCCTCCCCCGAGACCGCGGCGCGGCGGACGGCGGGGAGCCGGGAGCCTCGGCGAGCGCCGCCGCCCCGGGCGCTTTCCCTTTCCCGGCCGCCCGGGCTTACCTGCCCGCCGCAGCTCCTCCATAGCCGCGGCCAGCTGCGCCGCCTCACGGGACTCCTCGGCAACGGGCGCCGCCGCCTCGCGGTGCCCCCAGCGCTCCTGGGAGCTCTCCGCGCTCTCCAGGGACTCGGCGGAGCGCAGGGTCATGGGCGGCGGCGGCGGCGGGCGCGGCCCCGCTCGCACGCAGGTCAGGGGCTGCCGGCGGGGGAGGGCTCCGCTTCGCCGCCGCCGCCGCGGGGTTCAGCGCCGTGCCGGGTACATGGTCCCGGTCCCCAGCCCGGGCGCCGCCTGCGAGCGGAGAGACAGCGTGGTTAGCGGCGAGCCCCGCGAGAGGCGCTCCCTCTCGCAGCCCGTGTGTTTCTGGCGATCCCGCTTCGGAACTTCCCAGCATCCAGAGGAGGAACCCGAGGCGAGAGATCACCTCGCGGCGGAGCGGGGGAGGGACATCTCCTCCCCCCACCACACAGCCTGTCCTCGGCTCCCCTCCGTCGGGCACGCGGCGGAGGCGGCGGCCCGCGAAGGTGGTCTCGCTTTATTGCAAGGGCAAACCTGCTGATGCGCCGCCGCCTCCGCCGGGGCAGGCGAACCTGGCCGGCAGCACCGACGCGGGGGCGTTTGGGGAGGGAGGAGGTCGTAGGGGAGAGCCGAGCACGTAAAGGTATGAGTGAGGAGGGGTAACCAACGGAGTGGGGCAGTACCAGTCCCGGCCCTGCCCGGGTTGCACGCTGCGGTGCGTAGGAACGGTACGGTAGTGCTTTTCAGTAAGATCATACGCCAACTCGTATGATCTTACGGGATCCAGGAACGGGAGCCCAGCCTGAGCCGTGCTCCCGGGGTGGGAGAGCTTCTCTCGGGCAGCTGCGTGTCCGAGAAACTGCGGAGCGGGTGCGCGGGCAACGCCGGCTCCGGGGGCTCGCTGGCCGCTGGGAACGGGAAGGGGCAGTCTGGTGGAGGGTGCGATATAATTAGCAGGAGCAGGAAATGTGCTTTTCCCGCTCTATTAAATGTGATATTAGGAAAAAAAAAATCTTTCCGCTCGGCTGAAGCGAACGGGAGGGACAAAAAGAGCCTCTCCTCTACTAAGAGCACCGTCACGTCAGGAGCAATACAAAGCCGGGCAGCACCAGTGAGGGGGAGCCTAGCCGGCTTAGCTGGGGTGGAGGGAGACCCATAAAGACCTGGACCCGTCGCTGGTGCTTGCGAACCGGGCAGAGTCTCTGCCTCCGGGTGCGCAGCAGCCGCCAGGTGAGGCATTATTTCGAGGTGGTTCCTCCCGTAACAAGTTCCATGGCGGAGCTCAGAAACTTTTCCAAATTGAACTATAGAGGCAACTGATAGGCTGCTCTGCCGGGTTTCTATCTTAACACATGCACTAGCAGCAACCCCCTGGCAAAGCCCATCCCCTTCTTCCGCTGCGCTTAGAAGCTCCCGCTGCCGGCTCGGGGACGGGGCGCAGGTGCGCCTGTCACCGGAGCGGCTGCGAGCGCGGGGCCGCCGAGCACAGGTGGGAGCAGCCCTGCCGGCGGTGTCCGGGCGCGACCTCTTGTGAAAGGGAAGCTCCGAGAGAGCCTGGCCGCGAAGCGCCGCCGCTCGCGGGAGTTCGATGGGGACGGAAGGCTTGCGAGGCGGTGGGGGATGGCTGCAGAGGGGCATTCCCCGGCCGGGGCGAGGAGCGCCGGAGCAGCCTGCCGTCGGCTGCGGGGGAGCCCCATCCCGCCAGTCGGCAGCGCCGTCCCGGTAGCGGGGAGGCGGGCTGCCCGCTCTCGAAGCGCGGCAGCTCATCGAGCGGAGGGGGGCGAGCGGACTCACCCGGGTTCGGCGGGACGGGGCTGGGGCCGCCGCTGCCACCGCCTGGAGATGGGGTGGTCAGGTTGTTCTGGCTCCCGGCGGCGTTGCGGGGCCGCAGGGACAGAGCACTCGCCGCCGGGGAGAAGCGTTGAGGCTGTGCTGGGGTGAACAGAGGCTGCCGGAGAAGGATGGTGCTTCTGGGGAAACAACACCCTCCGCTCCCCCCCTCTTCCCGGCGCGGGCGGTCTGCTCGCCTTTGATTGCGAGGCGAGGGCATCCTGCCCCCGCCGCTCCCCCCTCCCGGGATGGTTACATACAAAGGCTGCTTTCCAGGAACTTTCCAGGAACCGCATCATGTGACAGAACCCGCTCCGGCGCCTCCGCCGCGATCGCGGCCAGCCAGGGCCGACGCACCGAGCCGCCGCCCCTGTCACGCCGGGGCAGCGGTCGCCGAATGCTGCCCCGCGACCCCCCCGCCTCCTCCTCCGCCCGCGGGGCCGCGGGCGACGCGCAGGTCAGTGCCCGGGGCCGCGGGGGGACCGGGCCGGCGGGGCCGGGCACGGCGGGACCCCCTGAGGTAACCGGGCGGGAGCTGAGCGCGGCCCCCCCGGCCGGGGCGGCGGGGCGAGGAGTGCCCGGCCTGCCCGGCGCCGGCAGCCGTGGGCACCTGAGCGCGGCGGCGGGGCCCGCCCTCAGGGCCGGGAGCGCGTCAGGGGCTGATGCCAGGAGCTCCGTGCCAGGGACTTGCGGCGGCCGAAGCTCCTGGGACACCCCACCCTGGTCTCCACCCCCCTTCACCCTCCGGCGCTAAATACCTCGTTGCTACAAACAGCCATTGCTCGCCGATGCGCGCGCCGATCTTCTCCCCCCACACACCCCCGCCCCGATTCTTTTTTTTGTTTAATTATTATTATTATTATTATTATTTTTAATAACCGCGAAGCTGTTTTTCGGCGTAAAGATGATTGATTGCGCCGCGGGTGCTGCTCAGTAACCAGCCACCTTCTGTCGCTGCCCGGGCGGCCCCGAGCCAACTTTAGAAAGACACACACACGCGGAAAAAAATGTGGGAAAAAAAAAGAGGGGAAACAAAGGAAAAGTAGCCGTAATAGTTTCACCCCTGCCCTTATCTGCAGGTCAGGGCTCCCTGCAAATTGCACGGCGGTGTTTGGGAGCGCGAATTGACGGGAGAAGGATTAAGGGGTGTCTTTTTGAAGCCCTCGGGGAAAAAAAAGTACAAAATAATCTCCTTAAAAATCAGGCCGGGAGGGGGGAGGGAGTCTTTGTTATCAAAGTGGTAAATGAATATGTATTAGGCTGGACTGTCTGGCTGAGGGAGCGGGGCACCTCCTCTGCACGGAGAAAACTCCCATAGGGACACGCTGCCTTGGGTCGTACTCCCCAGTAACGCCTGTAATTCGACGTTTCTTTAAAATAATAACAATAAAAAAAAAACCCAGTTCCTGAAGGTCTTTGTAACAGCTATTGCTTATAATTCTTAATCATCAGGGAATAAGAGAGTTAATAGTTATCTTAAAAATTAAGTGCTATCTTTAGTAATTAAGCAGATTCATCTGAGAAAAAAAAATCTACTTTGTTAAGTGAAATATTGGTCAGTATAGTTTCACCTTTTTGTCATGCCTCGGTGCTTTTGAATTTAATTTATTCAGTTTATGAAAAAGGTGGTTTTAATCACTGGCAGCAGCACAGATTTAAAATGAGGTCTGAGGAACAAACACGGTCTTTCTTAAGCATTCTCAGAAATGGTTTAAAACAATTTAGGTCCTGAAGGTCATTCTTGTTCCTGTTTTTGTCCGTGCAATTCAGATAGCCTCAGATCCAGCCTCCAGTGACTCTTGCAGAATCCCCACTAACTTTTTGTTGGATAGATGTGAAGAGGGGAGAGAATACATTTGTACTCCTTGAAATTTAGTTGACAGTTCAGCTACCGGTGATGTGAGATCTTGCATAAAACTTATATTAATTTTTCCAGAATGGCACTGGCTTTGCTATTTTCACAAGAACAATAAAAAAATAATACAGATCTAGTTTTATTACTAGAATAATTCCATATATGCAGGCACAGAGCTTTTGCTCAAAAATATGTTATTTTGATATCATAGTGTTCAAATTAGGGCTATTTATTTAAAGTTCACTAATGCATCTTGGAGAAATGGAATGCATCTTGCCTAGGTGCAAAGCTGCTTTTTTACAGCTTTGCTGTAGTTCCCTTTCCCTATGTTATGTTATTAATGGAATTTGTATGTGGATAGTATCTCAAGACTTCCTTTGCTTCTGCTGTTTATTCATCACTTGAAGTCATAATAATTTGTTTCTAAAACCACAGCTGGCTGCTATAAAGGCAGAGAGAGGAAGACCATGATTTATGTGGTGAATGAGAAACAAGAACAGAAGAATGTAATAAATATTTGTTGCTTAAAACTTAGAATATTGTTATGAAAAAGGTAGCATAAAAATTAAATAGGCAGTATATCAGCAGGATCTTTCCTAAACAGAGTTCTGTTAAATTTTTTTTTCTAGAGAATTTACTGTCTTTTAAAACCAGCACTAAATATCTTATAAATTTACAAGGGTAATGAAATTCAAACTTAAAAACTGCAAATCAATCTTTAAATGACAATATTGGCACCTCATAAGAGTACTCTGGTTCACAGTTACCTTTATTCTCTGGCTTGAGACTTCCATAAGTGCTATGGGCTCCTTGAAGTATGTTTGAATTTCACTGTTTCTCTCAACAATGTTAGTTGCTGTTTTTCTCTTCTATCTATGTGAGTCTTCCATACAGTCACAGAGAAGAAAAAAAAATAGCTTTAAGAGTAAGAAAAAGTGACTAAATTAAATTACTTTTGGGACTCTGGGCCATATGTAGTGCATGAAACTACTTAAAGCTACTTTTGAGCTTCTTTGGCATTGGAACGTTTAATACAGGCTTGGTCTGCCTTAAATGTTTTACTGTGTAAAAATTCTAATGGAGTAGGAGAAAGATGTGAAATGGAGAAAAAAAGAGCAGATTCTGAAAACCTAGCTTCCCTTCACGTAAACAAAATGTTTTTTTTACTTTGCCATATAACAAACAGTAATTCTTCTAAACAGTCACAAATATGAAAACTATATACAAATGGGGATTTAAAATTTTTAAGTACAATTCAAACCCAATGCTTTATTTATTTTTAATCTGTGTGTTTTGGGGTAGCAATTCTAGGACAAACATTGCCTGTACATATACAGTTATGAATGCTTCTGAGTCAATTTTAAGGCATATCACCTTACTGGGGATGAAAGGCATAAAGTTAAGCAATCTCTATTTTTTTTTTTGCCCAGATCCTTTCTACTGTTCCTGAACATTTTGATTCTCAATGTATATCATCCAGGTTGTAGATATATTTAATCGAGTTTTACATTAGTAGTGAAAACATGAACATTAAGAATTCTTGAAAATCACCAGAAGAATATATTGTTCCTGACTTGATTTCAAACATATGTGCCCAAGACAGGGAGGGATGAGTGAATTTATTTTTTATTTTTCCTTTAGGCAAAAATCCCTTTCATGATCAAGGAAGGAGGCAAAAACATTTTTACAGTCCTGTAAAGTGCCTGTTGCTAGAAATTATTTTCACTTTGTTCCTGAGAAGTATGCCAAGTTTACTGGAGAGCTAGCATGCTGATTTATTTATATAATATGATATAAGCAGAGGAGGGGGTAATGTGTTTTTGACCCAGCTGATTTTGCTGAATTTGCTCTGATATGCTGAAAAGACTTACTGATTTATTAAGCTAGATTTATTTAGCTACCTGGAGGAATACAAGGGGCCTTTCCTTGCTGTCTGCATCTTTACTTCCCAAAGTTGCAGCACAGAATATCCATTATCTATGACATACCATTTGGTCAGGAAAAAATCCCCTTTAGTTTAAAGGCCAGCTATGGCATGACACACCTCTTCTTATTGACCATATTTTGACAACTGTTTACCTGAACTGATCTAAATAACGGTGTACAACTGCCACTGTTCCTCCCTCTCTGGATTACAGTCTGGTTCTCGAGCAGAGAAATATGAATATTGAGCCTTTAGTTCAAGCAAATTGGAATGGGGTTAACTTTAGCTCTACAGCACAAACAAGGTCTGCAATGTGAACTTAGAGAATTTCTCACTTAGCAGTCAGGAGGAAGGTTTGCCTATTTCACAAAGAGTTCCTAAAACATAATAAATAAAGCATAGAGAAAGCAAGTGTTTTCCTAAATGGGATCACCCTGCTCTTTCCAGCTTTCTGAGGAATAGAATGTTTTGATGAAATAAATTATGATTTATACCAGATAATTTTACTACTTACCAGCTGCCACCTTATTTACTGTCATTTTTATCTCTTCAGATGTGAGTGCTTTGTCTTTCTTGAGAATATGCATTTGGTAAAGGAGAATAACAAAAAATTCAGTGAATAATTTCTATGAATCAGGGGTGCTCTAAAAGAAAATCAGCACTTTTAATTTAAAAGCAAACCATCAAGAGAGGGCACTACGAGAGTAGTACTTTGAAATAACATCCAGATTCTTTTCTTTCAGAGACCATTGAGATAACAAAGGATCATTTCCTTTGGTTCAGTGGATAGGTAAATAACCAGCGACAAGCATGGAACTGACCAGAAAAAGGTGGCATTTAAGTCCAGCTCTCACCTCATCATGTGCTGCCTACTGTTTAAAACTAAAGGCCTCAACTGCAGTAAGTAAGAGATTATCTAGGCACACTTAGGATCTTCAATGAAAATCATTAAATGTAGTGCTTTCTTAGTTTCTCTGCTATTTACAATTTTAAGTAAAACCAAAATAACTGAAAGTAATTTGGATGGACTCGTAAAGGAAAAGTAGAATGTGGTGACACAGGGTACTAAGTACAAAAAAAAAGATAATTTACACAGCATTTTTCACTTTATACTGTGTTAGGCTTCTTTATAAACAGCAGAATTCTGGTCTATTACTTTGTTATTTTGTGAATTATCCAATTTCACTCTGACTAACACTAGCTAAATATTGCTGACAGTTACTGAAGGATAAGCTGTAAGTAGAAAAAAAGTAGAAAAAAGACTGCTGGAAAGGACCATTTTGGTACACTCATTTCAGACAACTACTAGGAGAATATATGCTATGGATTTTAATATTCAGATTATAGTATAAGATGCTGTGACTGTAATATTTATTTACCTTGTTCTTTTGGCTGAGAAAGAGCATATAGATGTATATATACACATACACCTATACATACGCATGTTCAGAAACACGCTCTTTGAAGTTCTGGATTTTTAAAGAAACATACACTCTTTGTTTTAGAAAAATCCTAGAGATAGCACAGCTGAAAGGACTGTGAAATATTGCATTCTTGTTCTAGATGCTGCCAGAAAAAACAAACCTTTTAAGATTGAGGAGGCTTGAGCTGTTTTCTTGCCAGTTGCAAGTCCTACTTCCCAAAGTAAAAGAAAGCAAGTAATGTCTGTGAAAAAAGTTTTCCTGACAGACGGCATGAAGGCAGCTCTGCTGTGCTCGGCCAATCCTTAAGCAATTAAGGTTCCTTTGTTGGCAAAGAGTCAGTTCTGAAACTAATAGGGAAAACCAAAACAGGTGATGAAGTGGCTATCTCTAAAGGGGAGATATTTGAGTACAAAGGAAAATGAAGATGAAGAAGAAATTGGGTTATATGTCTGTGAATAAATGGCCTCCCATCAGAAAAAGATTATTTTAAAATCACTGTTCTAATTCTTATATTAAAGATGGTTTAATTCACGCAGAACTATTTGGCCTTGTGGATGAATTCCCGCAATTAAGTGTTTATGATTGAAAGTGCTGCCATGGAGAGCAGACACATGAATATCATTTCAGGAGTGCTGTGGATCATTAAATGAGTTGTAGAACCTTTGCTGGGCATGAGCCACTTTTAAATTTCAGGCTAAGGCTATAATAGACTTCAGCATAAGGCCTGCTGTGTTGCTGTATTAGAAGTTTGAATAACAGGCTAATCAACATTTACTAATATGTTTATATAATTTTAAACTTCTTATAGTTAATTGAAAATATGTTGCCCACGGTGTGTGAATATGCTGCTGGACTCAAATACATTTTTCAAATTAGTGCATTAAGTGCTAATGTCAGGTAATGAACTTAACCTGTTGGCTTCTTTCAGCTCAAGATAGGCATGGCTGCTTTCCCTGCTTCAGTACAGAGAGAGGCTGGATGTGGAATGTCATACAAACCTGGACAGATGATGAGAAAACAGTGCTAACTGCCAACTAACTACCTTCTCTATATTTGTCAGGATTCGTGCTTGATTTTTGTTAGGATGGCTCGAGGCATTGTTCTATAACTGATTAGCATGTTGGGAGGACATAAACTGAAGCACAGGCCAGATAGACAGATGGGCATTTTTTAGGCTCAACAGAGGAAGTAGACATAGGTCTACTCTTTCTGGTTAAGTAAAGAGCATTGGTCCACAGCTTGCCTTCTCTTGGTACGGCCTGTCATTCCCAGAATTGCTTGCTGCTCCTGTAAGCAGTTTTGCCAGGTATGTGGAAATTAAAGCTCAAACAGTAGTAGATAAAATTGGATAGACTGCTTGAGGCAGTTACTATCTCCCCCTGTACTGTGTCTGAAACCATCCTTCCTGTGGCTCTGACAGACCACTGCTTCCAGCAGGGAAGAAACATTAACTCCTGCATCTCCTCCTAAACAACTTCAGCTTTCAGTCTGGTGTGTTAAGATCAACTCCAGTTTCAGCATGGCTCAAAATTACCATCGTTCAGGAGCAGCTTCGAGAGCTGTTTGGTTGTGAGGTGGCAAGATGTCACGGGGTGGGGTGAACGAACTAACTCCTTCAGCCATCTGATTTTAATCCCTTACCATATGTGACTTGAAGTCCTTAGATGCCCTCTACTGCCATATACCAGAATTAACAGATGGCCCGGTGTAACCAAACTCAGATTTGCTGAAATTTGTTATTATCTCTCTGTCTTTATAAATTAACAGAGGAGGGGAAATAATATCCATAATTATTACAAAATATTCAAAGCCTTTTATAAAGTGTGAGCTTGGGCTAGACATGTTTTCTGACTTTCAGTGCCATTGCCCTGAATTTCAAAATTTTAACATTGTGTTTAGTAGTCTCTTCAGAGCTCACTTCTCTGATAAATTATCCCTCTGCGAATAAATTTGATCCAGAAAGATGCCTGAGGCACAGCAGACTTTTTCCCCAGCATTTCATGCCACATAATGCTAGATGGAAGGAAACTGCAAAACCTGCTGCTGTAGATCAGTCTTTATTCTGGGAAGGAATTAAAGGATGCATTTAGACATTGGATGTATTGTTTGCGTAGGACAGAACAGCAGGCAAGAGTGTATCTGAAATGGAACGAGAATGAAATTTCTGTTCCACTTTTCCCTGTGTTATGACAGGTTTTGTGTGCTGGCAGGCACAAAGCAATCCTAAGTCAAACAGAACTAATCTTGGAGGGAATCACTCAACAGGCACTTAAGAATCAACGTTTCTGTGGTGCTTGAGCTTTAACTGTGCTGAGTATGTCAACTCCTTTTCCTCCTATAAGGAAAAAAATCCCAGCAAAGAAATCCCACCTTTAATTCTCCGGCCCACGTTCTTCTTGCTGATTTGACTGAGTGGGTTTGGTCCAAATGAAATTAGCAGCCGTGTTTTGTGTACGTTTTTTAACATGCCTAAACTTTTCTGAGGACAGTCTGTTACTTCTTTCTACTCTAAGTGGTTGTTGGTGATGTTACAGATAGAAGCAGGCGTGGCAGGAGGGAGCGTGAGCTTTCCAGTGGAACACATGACAGCAGGGACCTGCTCCAGGTAACTGAAGGGGGCCATGTAGAGAGGACACACAGGAGGGCCTCTGCCAGCCTCATAAAGAGTGGGTTCATTGAAAGGGGGAAATTTCACACTATGGTTCCTTTTCTCTCCAGCGTAGCCCTCTACTTTCTGGCACACTGGTCTAGAATATGCTGCTTACATTTTTCAGAAGCTTTTGTAATTTTTCCAGAACATAATCTCAAACTAACATAAGTCCATAGCAAAATCGTGTTGTGAATGGGGGCTTTGTTCTGTGAGACTGCTTCTGAAAACAGCCTGGTTCTCTGTTAGCCACTGCATAAAAGGCTGAAACATGAATTTGTTCATATGCTTTTGTTTCAGTGTATTCATTCTTTCAACTCCTCCCCCCACTTTCTCCAAGAAATACATGGAGCTCTTCACATCCTCCTGGCAGGTGGGCTATATAATGTTGTGATGGCAAACCTGTAAAGCTTTACCAGTTTATGCCACCTGACAGTATGGTCCATTGCATGTATTTTTATTAGATCCCTATTTTTCCATTTTCTTTAATGGCATTTCAGTCTTTCAGTGGCTTTTTTTCTTCCCCTGTGCATCAGGGACTGAAATCACGTGTTCACAGAATGTAAATAACAGCTGTTTCCACTCAATTTGCATTTATATGCTTAGCACTTAAAAATAGATTATTTCTGGAAGCTGTGACAATCTAGTCAAAATTCCCACTTAGAGGTACTAGTGAGATGTTAATGAGATCCCTTTGGACTGGCTGATTGAAGAGGTGAAGCAACAACAATGAAATTCCCTAAATGACTGATCAGTTAGGGTTATAAGTTATCCTTCAAAAATCGACTGAAGCTTATCTTTTAATCTCCTTGGGCATTTTCAAGATCAGTTCCTTGGGCTGCTCTAAGGCAACAAAAGTATGCCAGGTAAGGAGATTAATTGTTTAAAAAAAAATCTGTGCTGAACTGGTAGTGTATTTCTAGCAAAATTAATTTATTGTACAATACAGCTGAAAATGAAAAAAAAACCCAAACCAAACAAAAAACAAAACAACACCTGTCAAACTGTTTAAAGTGAACAGCTTATTTGCTAGTGTCACAGATTTTTGAATAAACAAACCTCTTATGTCCTGAAAATAACTGAAAAACAGCTCTTTGGTTTTTATACCACGATTTTCTTTTGTTGACATTTCATTAGCTCAGAAAAGGAAACAGCATTTTTATTTAGTAATGCCTAAATGAAGATTTTAAGAATTATGTCCAATTACTGTAGGGTTTTTTCTCCAGAAAACTTTGAAAGCTTTCCACCTCATTATTTTGCCAAATGTCTCAACTTGAACCACTTCTTTAGATTTCTTTGATCCTCTGAAGGCTGAAAATTACAGAACATTGACATTTACTGACCTTTGGTATGGTTCATTTACTCCAACATGGACTGTGTAAGAAGATGCTTGCTCTTAAATCCAGATTTTGTTTGAAGTTACAGAAATGCGCTTTCTTCTCTGTATATTTTTTTATTCAGAAGAAAAATCCTTTTAATTTTACAGGAGTCTCAACAGGGGCATCTGTGAACTGGACTGGAGAATCTTCACGACTCAGGTTGTTTAGAGAACAGTAATTATGCGTGTGAGTTGCTGGTTTTGTGTGTCTGTATAAGCCTGTGCTAGACTCATTCACACCTGGTACTCTGAACAAAGGCAGTCTAAGCTCAGGTAATCTGCAAAAATGCTGTGGGTTCACACTACCTGATTTCAGGGGGCATACTTGTATTTCTAAATAATAATAAAAAAAAAGTCCCTGATGTTAAGAAAGACTTATATTGGGAATATAAGGGGCACATATATGGCTTATATTCACATTAGCTGGGGCTAGTTCCCTCCTGAGCAGACTCCCACATTCACATCAAGCAATCCTCCTTGGACTCTTTCTGGTGCCCCTATAGATCCAACTTGCCATTCTGGGGTTTTTTGTGTTATCTTTTTAGATAATTTGAAGTATCTGAAATTATGTGAAACTGTATTACAGGCTGTGAGAAGGGTGCTTTCCTAGCATGAAAGTGAGGGGGTGTGTTATATGTTTTGGCATGTGGTCACGTTTGAGGGTGTACAGCTCGAGCAGTTTAGAAGAGCAGGCAGTGTGAAGTCAAACAAGATGTGATATCAGGAGCAGTGCTTGGTGCAGACTCTCCCTGCAGCAGTGGGCAGCCACTGCTTGAAAGAGTGCTTGGTGGAACATGGGGAGGTAATGAAGAGTTGTGGGGAGCAGCAGCTGGGGCTTGAGCTTGCTCCCCAGCCTGCCGCAGTAAGGACGAGCTCAGAGGATCCCAAGCATCTGCCTGCTGCTGGAGCCACCGTGGCATGGTAAAGCACAGACAGGCGTTTTGACACTAGGATAAAGGCATCACTGTATTTCCTGTGTCATTTCCACAAAGTCATGACTTAAAATCTTGGTCATATTGAAACAAAGCACTGACCAAGTTCCAACAATTCAAGCTTTTGTCCTTGCACTGGACAAGGACTGGCTAAGCACTGTGTAGGTACTAACCACTCTTCTCTTCACAGGCCATTGTGTGCCTTACCAGTGGCCTCTTTGGGCTCACTTCAAATCTTTCTTCAACAAATATGGCCACATAAAGTCCATGAATTGTAACCCATGCAGCCAAGATACAGCATGTTTATTTTAGTAGATTTGGTACAAATATATGCTCTAGAAAGGGAGTTTCTCTGCCATTTTTCTTACCTCTGCTTATGGTAAACTGCCCATGAATTTTGCTTGCACTGGTCTTCTACTCTGGATAGGAAATCCTATTTCTTAAAATTCTAAATTTTGTGGAACTCACTGCCAACCTCAGTTTCCCCATCACCAATGCCAGGATTTTAACTGTATGAAAAATAGCATGCGGGAAAGGGAGTTCTATAAACATCTATTCTTGGAAAATAACAAGTGAACCCATACTGAAACCAGTCAGGATTAAAAATTAGAAAATAAATTTTAAAAGGATATGAAGCCTTATGCTACTTATACCAACCAAATGTTAATTAACTAGGGGTCAAGGAAAATTTTTTCCTCAATTATTCAATTGAAATCATCAGTGTGTCTTAACTAAAGCAGATGGTGAGGATCACTACTGCAGCACAGTTCTGATGCAGTGTAACTCCTGCTGATGTTAACTTCAGAAAAATGCTACTTGGCTTATTATTTGTTTAAACAAATAAAACATATTTGAATGAGAAACTTGCAGTGTTTAAGAAACTTTAGCAGTGTTTAGAAAACTTAGTGCTAATGACTAGCAGTGTTTAAGAAACACTGATCTTTGCTTGAAACTGTTAAGCTCTGTTTTGTTACCATTAGTGAGTAGGAAATACATGTTTGTACAGTATCCTGCTTTAACAGTTTAATCTTTTACTTAGGTTAAACTTTATTCTACCTGGTAATAGCTTAATGCAGTAGCCTAATTCAACAATCACTTTTCACTGATCATTGAATTTTTTTGTGGTACTTACCTGATTAGAGTTTTATTAGTTCTAGCAGAAAAGATGCTAAAAAACAGCTCTTCCAGAATTTCTCTTTTTTTAATATCTCATATTTTGCTGGTTAGGGACATTCTTTTGCTGAGGAATTGTAAACTTCAGTAGTTGTCAAAACTGGCCTTATATAAAAAGGTAAATCACCTCTGACCTGAGACTGTTTAGCATCTTGACAAGCAGTAAAGCTGAATATTAGAACAACTGTTTTCTGTATGTATTACTTATTTTTCATAAAGACCAGCTGGCAAAGTTTCTCAGTTCTACTGGCCATTCCAACCTCTTGAGGTGCCTCTAGGTGATGAAAAACTTTGTGATATATTGATTATCACTTCTCACCTACATCATTTACTGAAGTGGCACACCAGGCCATAAACTTTTACTTCTCCAGAAGCCATGCAATGGAAAATTGCTGGCCAAACATGCTGTTTAGTTCACGCAGCTTCCACATTGCTCCCACTGTCTGATCTGCAGTGTCCCAGCCACTGTCATTACATACAGTGGAACTAACAATCTTTGTCAACTATATCTAAATTTTCAGATAATTCTGGGCAAATTGCTCAGTAAACCATAATTTATTGTGTAATTTTTCTAGAAGTACCTCAAAGTAACAGTTACAATCATGAGCTCATTTTAGAAGAGGCGCTACTAAGATACATATCTTATTTCTCCTGTGACTACACACTGAGTGAAACAAACAAAATAGCTTAATTATTATCTTTTAGCATTGGAGGGTTGATTAAATATGAAGTGAGATTAAAAACCTACACACAATTTATTCAAAGTGACAAATTAAATGTATGTGAATTACTCTATAGAGAAAAGCAAGATTTCCTATATACGGGCTACACACTTTTGAAGGCTAGCAGAAACAGCAAAAATAGTTCTATCCAAATTTTAAGAGAAGTATTTTCCTTTTACATAGATACTCTCCTAAATTAAAAAAAAAAAAAAGTAAGACTGCTTTCATTTACCCCAATACAGACATCTGAATCTCATCTTCATCCTCCCTTCACAGAGAAGGAAAATGTACCTCCAGAGAACAACTGTGTGACACAGTCTATACAATAAAATGTTAAAATAAGATTGACTGCCTTGTGTAGGTATTTTTTCCACGTCAATTGACTATAAGGGGAGCCTACGAAGATTAACTCAGGCTTTGATGTCTAATTAGTAGCTGTCTCAATCCTGGAGATAAATCCAACTTTTATGTATTGTGGGTACACGATTTGTTTCTTTATTCTGGTTACTAGTGGGTTTGCTTTAAGTCACTTTTACTATATTGTAGCATTAAAATAAAATATACATCCTCTATTACAGATGAGGAATGCAGTCTACATCTATTTTGTCTTTTATAACTTTGTATTTGTTTTGAGGATGGAATGAGCACTTGAGAAATTACAGCAGAGCAGCTGCTAAAATTCATAAAGACTGGAGTAACTGAGAAATGCAGTGCTGGCTTTAAACAGCAGTCAGTACTGTGACTCATAATGGACCTGCCACAATGATTTACTCTGGTACAACAGAACTTGGACATGACAGATGAAGTTCAGACCCAATACAACAGCAACGGACAAGAAGAGAACTTTCCTACTGAATAGCTGGAAGGGTGGGGAAGGAGGGACGGGTGGATGTGTAACTGCTGCTTTCATTGTAGTCGTGAGGAACTGAAATATAAAGACATGACACTTGTCACATGCTCCTCTGTCGACTCATTTTTTCCCAAACTGGGAGGGTGGAGCTTTTTTGGTTTAAACATGAACATACATCTCTGAGACACCTTACAAAAGTTAAAAGCAAACAGGCAAGCCCCACATAAGAACCTTTGACCCTTTAAATCCAACCACTTTCGGACCTGCTTGGGAGCTCCTTTTTCTGAAGTACTTACAAATTGAAGTAAAGAACTGCAGCTTACTCCCGCCTCTTGGTTAAATTTGACCACACAGCCAAGTCCTCGGGGATCTCTGACAGATCCAGTCTCGTTCCTGGACAAGGCTGCCTCCTGGTGGTGGTACCCAGTATCTGCAAAACATCAGCAGTGGCACACAGAAAAGGCCCGTCTTAAAAGCATCTTCCATTTTTAATTCAGGGCTAACTACTAGGGGCAGTGAAAAGAATTGTTTTCATGAAGGCATCAGGATAAATCGAACTGCAATTTAAATGGTTGGAATTTTTGTTCTAGAGCACTGGAACAGGCTGCCCAGGAAGGTCATGGAGTCTCCCTCTCTGGAGGGACCATCAAAACCCATCTGGATGCATTTCTGTGTCACCTACTCTAGGTGACCCTGCCTGGTGGGGGAGGTTGGACTGGATGGTCTCCAAAGGTCCCTTCCAACCCTAACAATTCTGTGATACCCTAAATTACGGACAAGATTTTTGATAATTGACTGAAACAGAGTTTTCTAAAGGCATGCAGGCAAGCAAGGCCTGAGGAGACTTGTAGTGAGACATTTAAAAACCAAAAATCAATCAGTAAGACGCATCCAGCTGTGTACTATCCACAGCAATGAACTAACATGGTCTGGAACACTTAACAGCTACTAGATACACAGTCTAAAAGGGTAAGTGCCCCAAATTGCATATAAAGTGCCAGAGTAGACTTAACATTGTGAATTTTATGCAATTTAAGTTTTCAGTTCCAAGGAACAAGAGCAACAGAAAACAGAAGTCCCAAACTAACTTTCAAATGGATTTCCTTTTGCATAGAAGTGGGACAAGAATCAAGTGGGTGGATGAATTTTGAATTACAAGTTTTCAAGTGAAGAGAAACATAACTTTATGTAGTTGTTTGATACCTAGAAAATCAAGAAGAGAGCTTCAAATTACTTTGAGAGTAGTATTTTAATTATGTCATGCTTCAGATGACCCCAGAAAAAGATTTAGTAGAAGCAAACAGAGAAATATTGAAAGAGGCAGCGCAATGCAGGGATAAAACATCAATGTTATGAATTAATAACAAAATGTCAGAGGACATATGTAGTGAACAGGTGTTTTAGACTCAGTTTCTAGTAACTGATCAGAAGAGAAGGTACTTTAAAGATAGGAATCAAGTACATAATAGATTTTTAGCCCTCAAAATGCCTGAAAAGCATCCAAAAATGTTTGGGAAACATTGAGAAATCCAGCATTTCTACACTGATTGTAGATGTTTGATCATAAACAGGGTTAGGCATGAACAGATAAATGCCATAACAGAAGGTCTCTGTAAAACAAAATGTCTTAGCAGTATTAGGCAGCAATAAGCAAAAGTATTGGAGAAAAGGGGGGGAGGAAATAACTGAAAGTTTAAGTTAGTCCAAGAATATTTTTTCTTACACTGGAGTCACAAATTAGGTCTCAGCTTTCTAAAAATAAAGGGGACTCAATGCAGTTAAGCTGTGGAACACAATAAAACACTACAAGAGATGTCATCTCAGTTATGTGCCAGTGTCAGTACCAGGCACCATGAACTGATGAAAATACTAAAATTTGTTGTACTAGAAATTACTACAAACTATTTTAAAAGTTATATTCTAGGCAGAAAAAACCCCACAATTATGTTCACGTGATCGTACTTGCAGAGTTAAGCAGACATCCTTTGCATAGGCAGCACAGACATTCCTCCAAAACAGCATGTTTGTTATGTGAGTAACACATCATTAATAAGGAGCCAAAATCACTTGGCTGATGTTGGCTTAAGCATGGACTCATATCTTACAAGCACAACAGAGCAACGAAAAACCATTATCAGCTACCCGGCATTCAGATTTAAAAATGCACTTAGACTAGCTTTACATAAAATTTTCCAGAGGTATTTAAAGGCAGTCTTTTTACACACATCCAACATCACTTTTTTCACAATTTAAGGACATTCAAAGAAAAAAAGGTGATTTAGTGATAACTTTAGAAACTAACAATGACCAAGATAAGAGGCTCCATACAGTACTCAACTTCTAGCAAAATCTGTAGATAATACATGCTGGCAAAATGGCACTAAACTAACAGAGGAAACAAAAACCTTCTTAGGTTATCCAGCTTGCTTTGGAAAGGAAATGCAATAAAAATGCATCCTGTATGAGAAGTAACTATTTTCTGGTTATTTACAAGGATCTGCTAAGAAGGCTTTATGAAGTCACTGGGATCTCTGCAGAGGCACAACGTTCCAAGCCAGCCCTTTTTATCAGAAGGCCGATGCCTAAAACTGTAAATTGGAACAAAGAATTGCCTTTTCCTGAGGGAAAAAATGCTAGATGACATAGAATATTACAAGAGCAGGAACATTTAAGCACTACAAAATGCTAAAGCAACGAGGTAGAATCACACCAAATTTCTTTAATTTAAAGCATTTTATATAATAAAGGGTCAACCCTTCCTATTAAGTAAGCTACAAAGAGCTGGGAGTCTTCAGTGATTACCTTGCAGACGCAAAGAACTTCATATATAAATTGGAATAGCTGTAGCATCCTCACTGAGCAGTAGCTGGGAATTAAAACAAACAAAAAAACTGCCCATGAATCATAAATGCACACAGAAGTTCTCAGGTATTTGGGAACGCTGGGTGATTTTGAAGGACGAGTTACTATGTCTTGTCATACTCTACAACTCCCTGAAAGGAGGTTGTAGCCAGGTGGGCGTCGGTCTCTTCTCCCAGGCAACCAGCAGAAGGAAAAGAGGGCATGGGCTTAAGCTGTGCCAGGGGAAGTTTAGGTTGGATATTAGGAAGAAATTTTTTACAGAGGGAGTAATCAGACATTGGAATGGGCTGCCCAGGGAGGTGGTGGATTCACCATCCCTGGAGGTTTTTAAGATGAGACTGGATGTGGCACTTAGTGCCATGGTCTAGTAACCATGGCAGTGTTGGATCAAGGGTTGGACTTGATGATCTCAGGTCTTTTCCAACCCAGTTGATTCTACGATAATTCTATGATTCTATGGATGCTAAAAATTAAAACCAAGTTGGCCAGTTTTCAGTACACAACAACAGCCTTAGATACAATCTCTTGGCCGATGTAGAATCAAACATGGAACCAGGTATCTTACAAGTGTAATAGAAGAAGCAAAACTATTTGTTTTCATAAATACCTCATACAGTATTTTTCATAAACACTCTTTTATTATTACCTCAGTATTCAAGCTTACCTGCATTTACTTTACTAGATTTCTAAAGAAGAAAAAAAATTATTACCCCCAGCAAACCACCAAACCCTAATGTGTCCATTTCTAGACTTCCCATTTTGACGCAAGACTTGTATGGATTCACTTTATAAACAATGAGGCTGGGACCAAGTTTAGTCAGAGCACTCCATGGCCTGTTACATCCTGTTCTCCATTCTAAAACCGGCCCGTGTGTTGACCAGGCACATGCACAACTGCCTTCACTGACGCTCTGTCTCATCAGTGCCATTTTTCTGTCAACTAGTTAAAGTGGAAAATAACAGTCAAATTAAGTGTTTTGTTATAGCCAAACATCTCATTTTCTGTAATTTTTATTTCTAATAAAGATTAACAACAAAGTGCTGATGATCAAGAAATTATCTTAATTATCGGTCTTTGGGAGGATTAGGATTCTTGCGTCTTCTGTGATACCTAGAAGAAAAAAAGGGTGCAATGAATGCAAAGACTGTGGACAGTCTTTATTTTCCTGATATTTTTGCCCCCAGTAAGTGATCTGAGGTTACACGTGTAAGCAAAACACAAGATACACAAGCACTACCCATCACCACTCAGTAGATGTCATCTCTGTTGTTTGTGGAATTACATAACGTTACTCATTTCTATTGTTACATCTGCTACAAGCACACAATAATCCAATCAGTTCTACAGCTGAATAGGCACAAAGGCTGCTGTTTAGTCTTAATCCTTTGTGTGAAGTTAATTTTATTACATGGTCAGCTTTCCCTTTGGCTAAAATGATTGCTATAGAACAGACACCTGATGTTTAAAGGAGTTGAGCCAGACTGTGTGTTAAATAGTGTAGTATTTTACAGACAAACTGAAAAACAAATTCTTAACAACAAAAAATGATCCATATTTTCCTCTTAATTAAGCACTCTAAGACAAGATAGATCCTGTTTGATCCTCATTAAATGACAGCTACCCTTTGGTCA